AAACTTTTTTATGTATTTTTTAACATTAAAATAATTTATTCACCATGTGAAGTGGATTTCATTGTAAATTTACTTCAAAATAATTATGTATGGAGAAGAAAGCCGTTTCTAGTCCATTGATGTTCTCCGTACTGATTACAGAGATTATTACTGTGAAAATGTAGTTAGCTGCTAATGAGCTCCAATCGGGTTTAAAAACTGACATCAGACTTCGATCTCAACATTTCTACCAAGAAGTACACTTACTTGCTGCTTATCCGAGAGTCCATTTGCATCAACTTTTTTTTACCGCTGTTGTTAATGGAACTTTTTCCTAGTTGCGTGATGAGGTATAATTAGTGGTCGTCTATTTCGAGGGGGATTGTCCACATAGACTTTAGACTTTACATATCCCCACAGGAAAAAGTCTAACGGTGTGATATCACACGATTTTCTGCCCAATTGACCATTCCAAAACGTGAAATTATTTGCCCACCGAAGTGTTCTCTCAATAAATCTATTGATTGATGCGATGTGCGGGAAGTGGCGCCATCTTGTTGAAACCAAATGTCGCCGAGATCTTCTTTACCGGCGTGGATACCGCTTACGCGTTTATAGCCGAGATATTTCGCCTTGTCTGAATCTCGTTTGGTATCGAATGGCTCGGAGAGATCCTCCCCTTTTTGTACTGTCAAAAKCAGCTTTGGAATCGACGAAAGTTGATGTGTGTCGAGCCTCTTTTCACGGCTCTTTTCCAAGACGTGGCGCATTTTGAATATCTGATCTTTTATTGATTTTCCAGGCCTAAAGCCGCACTAATAAGGTCCAATCAGTTTGTTTACTGTGGGCTTCAGTCTTTCACATACTGTGCCCGATAGAACCTTATATGCGATGTTGATGAGGCTTATACCACGATAGTTGGCGCAGATCGTGGGTCTCCCTTTTTGTGGGTTGGGTAGAGCACACTTAAACTCCAATCGTTAGGCATGCTTTCTTCCGATCACATTCTACAAAGAAGCTGATGCATGCTCCATTATCAGTACCTTGCCACCGTATTTGAATAGCTCGGCCGAATTTAAATAGCTCCACTGGATTTCTTTAAAGTTCTACGATTATACTACCTGAAGCAAATATTTTATACACACTAATATAAATCAATTTGTATAAAAACCCTCGTTATTAGTATGCTCTTACATTCTTCGGCATTCTTTGCGTCAATTAATTATTCTGAAATGAGTGCAACGGAGTTTTATTTACCTGGACAAAGGTAAATCAACACGACAGTCCACCCAATCAAGCTGCGCAAACTGTAAACAGTCATAATTGTAAGCAAACATGAAATATACATACACACGCAGCTTTGAAGTGTAAATGTGTACATGCTTATGGGTCAGCAATTAATTTACAAGGTCCCCTTCCCCCCATTCAGCAAATGCTGTACAATTTTTACGCGCAACCCATAATCCTTTGGCACCTTATAAGTTTGTATAATAATACATATGTATGGACTATGTGTAACATCAAAACCAAGTGCATAAATAATATGTGTTCTATTTTGCTTTAAAATTAATTATAGCTGGCGTTAGTTGCCTTTTTATTAATGAATTTTTTATAACGGGTAACAAATAACGTTCAGTGATAGTCTACCGTTATATACGAAACAACAACAAGCCTGCATTTGCAACGTCCATTCAGCAATCAACAGGGCAAATACCGTTATTAACGAAATTGCAGTCAAATGTCGTCGTGTCCAACTCGTTTTCCACTCAATTGAAAATATTCATAAATCATAGAAATTACCATTATACATACAAACATTTTTTGTGACGCATTTACTTACATACTTATGCAACCACATTTATTTTCCTCCTCTTTTCGTATTTACCGAGTTGTAACGTTATTGATTTGTGGTAATTTAGTTTGCTGTTAGCTCCATTCACCATTTACACCATTAGCGCCAATTCACACATCGATGTAAATAAGCGAGAACTACATCTATTAGTACATACCGTTATGTATATTAAATTACTCATTTCTATAATTTATGTATGTTGATTGATTATGATTTAAGTGACTGTGAATGTTAAGGTCGCTATCGTAAATGGTCTTGTAGGCAGTGTCGTGCCTATCATCAACCTGGGGGTTTAACGGGGAATTTTGTGTTGTTGGAAATTTTTAATTTCCAATCATAATTTCAGTATGCTCTGCGCATCAGTTACTAGATCACCTCTGGGGTGATTGTATGCTCCGGTCTTGAAACCTTCTGTTAGCCGCCGCCTTTTCTCATAGAATTTTCGAGCATTACCCCGGTCGGCCAGCTTGTCAAGCTCTTCATACTCACGCATTTCGGCCTCTTTTGTTTTTTGTTTTTTTTTTGTCTGCAAATGCGTCTCACTTCCCTCTTCAACTCTCGGTATCTATCCTATCCCGCACGTGTTGTGGTCGATTGTAGCTTTGCGCGGTAGACAGTATGTTTTCTCTCCGTCTGAAAACCAACTGCTTCGTTTGCAGCTGTACATATGTATGTAAGGGGCTTGAAATGCCATCCTATGGTTCTCTTATATCGAATTGCTGATGAGTGCTATCAGTGAGCAAGAGTAAAACTCGAGTAGAAAATCGCACAACTAAAAAACTGGAGACGTGTCTTCCGTCTATCACAACATGATCGATCGTGACGGGGGCAACTTTCATAGGTGCGGTCGGGCCGAGACGTTCATCCTCCGGGGTGAATGCCAGTACTCGCCGACGGAGTTTCTCTCCCGCCACGATTATTTTATATGATCACTGTAGGAAATGCTACAAGCACGTCTCCGTTCTTATCTTGTCCATCGTATTTCTTGGGCGGCAGTGATGTCAGCCTTTACTTTAACGAAGATATCCAAATTAAGGGACCGGACATTCCAAGTGCATGCCATTAAATCGTAATTCTTACGGTTGAAGTGGCTGTCATAAAAAGGGTGGTCACCCATCCCAGGCTGTTTTCTCCATTTCATTGGGAGTGTTTTTACGTACGCGTTCCAAACTCAGCGCACAACCCTGGGGAGGGATGATCCGCGTTCTCACTTTAGCTCGCCTTCAAACAGTGAGTTGCTTGAGCCATATATAAAAGAATCGTTCTGGCCATTCCCAAGTGAATGCCGCCGACCTCCTTACCTATGGGAAGTTTTCAGAGCATTTTTCAACCAGAAGTTTTTGCCATAAATCGGCGTGCAAAGATAAATCTCCAACGCAACGAATATATAACCACTTGCTTACTTAGTGACGGCCAAACGGCATTTAAAGCAATCTCTGCATACGAGATCAGATCGCTACTGTTGCAGGAGTGTAGAGAACTATTTAGCCGTTCGTCTATCGGAGGGTAATCAAGTGCACCTCATCTAAGTGCCCGATCAAAAAGCTATAGCCGGGAATGAAGGGCCATACCACCGGAGGAGCTGCACCGCAAAGAAGAAGAAGAAGTAGGCAAAGAGATGTATTTTAAAAAGCTTTAACTTAAACCCAAGAAGCACTTATTTAAGCTCTTCTTCTTGCACAAATTGCCGGTTCTGCGACAGGGAGCCTACAACTGCTAAAGCTCCTGCTAAATGACTGCATAGCAGTCTGCAGGCGCAGTATAAAGACCTTTGGATCCATGTTTCCAAACAGGGATCACATCGCCTCACTAGTACCTTTGAAATTAATCAATATGCTGGTGCTAAGTGGGTCGTTTAGACTTAAGAGAGGGCACAATATACCTAGAGTCTCGGTGCAATCCTCAGCTGTTTATCGTATCTTACTCAGTTGTGCTATTTTGAATAATATTTCAAAAATTCTCTAAAAGTTGTTTTGGAAGAATCCTCAAGAGTCAAGGTCAGCCGCTAAAATGTTCCTTGGCACTATATTTTTTGCATAAACAAAACTATAATTTGCATATAAACATTTTCTTGCAAAAGCATATCGAGCATCATTTGAACACATTTTTAGAACTTACCTCGGTGTTGTAATTCAATTTCAACTATTTTTTTTTAGCCGTTCAGCAAAGGCCTAGCCATTTTGAGTATGCGCATACATTTTTAATTGTAGCATTTCGTTTCTAGCATTTCTAGTTATTAGTCAGCAATATATAACCTAGATTTTTGAGTTTTAATTTATTGTCATTGAGTTTTAGTGGAAATTTCTTTCAACACTTTGTAATATTCCACATTTTCTAGCGTTTATTTGCAGCACGCACCAATTTCGCCTTGAATTGTGGTTGTCTGTTGTCTTTAGTTTGTTACTGTTCTTGTTATTGTTATTGTTGTCGATGCCACTGCAGTTCACCGCAACAAAACCCAAGTGATTTTAGTTTAGTTTTTGTGTTTCTGCCACACATATGAAGAATAATCGCCATAACCCCAACAACAATACATATATATGTGGTATACATATGTTAATTGTATGTATGTACATATGTATGCATGCATATATTAAGCAAATACTAATAACAAATGCAATTTTTCATTTCGGAATGCAGCGCGTCCAACTTTCTTGAATTTGAACTTGAATTTCAATCAACGCAATCCGCCGACCAAGCGTAGGTGTCAAACAAAAACAAAGAAAAAAAAACACTTAAAATAAATATTTACTTTTAAGCCAAAAATCTTATTAAATCCTCACACTTGCCACTTTACACCAAATTATCACACATCCGTTAATAAATACCGCTAATTTACACCCATACAATCTACAGCTTCACCGGCTACCAGCAAGCTATTGGGCATGCGCATGACCACACTACACGAAGAGCCGCTCGGCGTGCATCGTGCCCTCGCCGAGGAGCCCGAAGACAGCTATAGCGACTCGGAATACACCAATAACGAATACGAGCAGGAGAAGAATCAACAGAATAATTATCACACACGTTCACGCCTGACAGCCTCGAAGACCATGGACTCATTCATGGATGTCAGCAATCATTCCAATCACAGCTACTTAAGTTATACGTCCAGCGCTAATGCGAATATGAAGCATTTAACCGGACTGGCCACGCCCAGCATGAGTTCGTCCACATCTAGCGGCTATGGTTCGCAGGTTAGTTTAATTTTTCAGTAAATACTATTTTATGTCCTTACTAACTGCTAATTACCAACTTCCATTTTTATTTTAGGCGGTTTCATGCAGCAATTTGACGAATGATGATATTGCTTCTATGCGTTCAATGAGCATTGATGAGACACCAGGTGAGTCGTCAGCGTTGTTGTGTTTTCACCTCATCTTCCTCCAAACAGCTTCGGCAAATGCATGGACGCCAATAAGACAGGCCTCTTAAAAGCCACAGAAAGACGCTAGCCTTACTGAGAGCAAAGAGATCACTAGAAAGCTCTTGACAATAAACCTCTCCACCAATATTCTCCCCAAGCTTTGACTCATCCGTAAAGAGGCTCTCTGGCCCTCTCCTCCAACGGTATATTCCCACCGCCAGAGTTCTATGATCTAAGTGATGCAGTATGAAGTCAAAGTGTGTGAGGATATCCGAGTGCTCATATTCTGCAAAAAATTAATTCATCGGCGCCGCCGTTTTGTTGTTCTTCAGACGGGTTATTGCCATTCGAACTTCTTCATAGTCGGTGAATGGAATGTCTACTCCACTGTCATCGATTGGAAAGTCGGGTTCGCCATCTCCTGATGTCATTCCTTCACTGCCATTCAGCAAGCTGGAGAAGTGTTCCCTCCATAACTTTAGTATGCTCTGGGTATCAGTACCCAGATCACCTCTGGCGGTTCTACATGAGTATGTTCCGGTCTTGAAACCTTATGTTACACATTTCGGTCTCTTTTGTTTTTTTTTTTTTTTGTGTGTAAATGCGTCTTCAGCTCTCGGTATCTATCCCATCCCGCACGACTGATAGCCAAATTCACCAATTTATATTGCAAAGTACATAATAATTCTAGTAATTGGAAACATAACCTCTTTGATGGATATTGTAACTTTTTTTAATAACTCATAAGTTAACCGTAATATGTAAAAAGGAAGGATGTTAATTATAATAATACCGTTACTTCTCTAAATTCCATATTTATTATTTTTTCTCCCAGCAGACTTTCATTCGAATTCACCACCCAACCGGCAAACACGCTTCAATCCATTCTTAAAAGACATGCCAAAGGCGAATGGCAATAACAAACAGCAGAATCAACAGCAACAACAACAACCAGCGCAAACAACGACAGCACATTCGACGATGAACGACGAGCAGAGCGATACAACGCCAATGCAACAGAAATTAGCACCGGGAAGCGCAACAAGCGCCGAGACAACTAACGAAATCAGAACAACACTCAACGACAATGAGATCAACAACACAAATGCAAAGCTGCCAAATATAACAACAAAAGCACAATACAGCGCTGCCAATGCCCCGATGGATATAGAGATGGATGCTGTGGCGGATAACGGTGATTATGTGGCAAACACCATAAACGATGATGATGTTGTTGAACTCAAAAACAACAACAATTGCGAAACAACAACAACAGCGGCCAAGTTAATTAACAATCACAACAATAGTGAGAATAATAAGAATACAACAAATACAACGGCAACATTAATTAGCAACAACATTGCTASCGACAATCAAAATGGCAATGAGACGATAAATCACACAACAACAACAGCTATAGCAGCAACAACAACAAATGAGGCAGAACAACAGCAGCAGCAACAACAACCGTTGGAAGGTAATGGCATTGTACGGGGCCAACTGCCAGCCGGCAAAGTGGTGCGTCGCAAAAAGACACCACCACAAAGTGGCAACGTCATGTCGAGCAGCGTCATAAGCACCAACAACAATGGCGGTGCGTCGCGTGCGCAATTGCAACGTGCTTCCGTGGCACAAATGGAGGGTATTTTGACGGCGTCCAATGACCGATTGAATGTGTCGATGACCGGCAGCATGGAACTCGATGCAGGTATGAAGTGGAGAGCTTTTGTTTTTCTCACTTCAAAATATTTTTCAGTTTAATTTACCGTAGTCAATGGGATTAGTAAAAAATTTGCTAATTTGCACCTCAAAAGATAAGAGCCATACGAGTCAGAGGTACAGAGCTTTATTGTCTACAATCCTTAGTATATATAGTAGCTCCTCTTCGGCACTATAAAACAAATAATGCTTTCCTTACTCCCGCCTCAATATATAAATTGAAGGAATGAGCCTCCGAACGAGGTGAAAGGCAGGAGAACAACGTCATTAGCGTAGATTGTCACCGGATAGCCTCGTTCCTCGAGTTCTTTAAATAGTTCGTTTACCATGTTTTCCAGATCCACAGCACTGTGGAAAGTACCTGCCCTTGCGTGTTGCTATAACTTTACCCACTGCCACGACTGTTTTGTGACTGCGAACACTATACATTAGGTGTTTGAGGTTCTTTCATCTTAAATTTTTCGAGGCCTTTAACCGCCGCCTGCCGCCACTCATTTTTGAAGGCTAACTCAATGTCGAGCAAGGTGCATATCGCAAATTTCTTATGCATGGCTCCCTCCAGCCATAACACTAGATTGTGCAGTGTCAATCTTTCTGCGTACTTCCAATGTTTTCAAAAGAAACGAAGCTATGTGATAACGCCTGAAATCCTTGGCATCGACGTACGATCTCTTTCCAGCCTTCGGTATAAATGCTAACTTAACCACTATCCAAGCCTCCTTAGCTTAATCAATCAAATTAGTTGTGGAATGCTTGACATCTCAATAAGTTGCAGCATTTTGTAAGCCTTTTCAGGCGAATGGTACCAGGGAACGTCTCCGTCGGTCGATAAATAAGTCTATTTGTTCTCGGTTCAACAAACAGCGATCACGAGATCTCATGGATCTCCAAAACTGCTCATTAGTTGGAATGAGAATGAGTTGCGATAATGTACCAAAACAGCATTTGGCTCCCATACAAACTGACCTATCCAATTCAAGTCCTCGTATGGAAAACTTTTCTTTTTATCTAACCAAACATTTTTTTTTCTTGTATCTTCCCAGAAATCGAAGCTTCTCTACCCGACTGGGTGCTAGTTGGCGAGTCGGTGCTAATACGTCCATACAACACGAGCGGCGTCATCAGCTACATCGGCAACACACACTTCCAAGCTGGGACTTGGATTGGCGTTGAGCTGGACACGCCGACGGGCAAGAATGACGGCACCGTACAGGGCATACAATATTTCCAATGCAAGCCGAAGCATGGCATCTTTGTGCGCTACGACAAGTTGATATTGGATAAACGTGGCAAGGCCATGCGCGCCTACAAAGCGGAGAAAAGCAACAGCAAAGGTAAGCAGCAGACCCCCACCACTCACACACGCTAACTAAAATGCAGTTATTACACGAAATATTTTTCTTGACTCTCCCTAGACACAAACATGATGACACGCTCAAAGAGTCGCGGCGAATCCTTGGCCAGCGTCGGTGGCGCCGCGTCGTCACGCAAATGATTATATCCAAAATGTTCGCATCAAATGCACCGCTGGGCTAATTGCAAGCAATCCACATTGGTGACAGCAGCCGCTGCTGCCAAAGCAACAACAACAACAACTGCAAACGCAACAACAACAACTGGTGCAGCAGCAGCAGCAGCAAAGACACCAACAAATGCCGCACATGGCGGCAGAGGAGCTGCTGCACCAACGCGCACATGCACCAAATTGCGTGCAACCAGCACAGCAGCCGCAGCAAATGTCGCGACGGTGACGGCCACGGCCACGGCACACGTCACCACCGTCGATGCGAACACGAGACGTTTCAAGCGACGCTCAACAGCATTTTAAGTGGCAACGCAGCAGCAGCAGCAACAGCAACCAACCGACGCGTATGTTTGTATGTCAGCTGCGTTGCAAAAATGCCGCGTGTAGTGTGCGCCACAAACGCTCGAACGGAGTAAACATTTTGAGGTTAAAAAAGTAGAGAGAGAAGCATAGAAATCACAAACCGCCAAGTCATGCAACACGCATATACAGTTATATGCGTGAAAAAAGAAAACAACATAGAACGAACAAACGAATTGCAATTGCATACATATTACATAATTACGCATTATTTTATATATTATGACAKACATACATACATACTTACATATAAATTAAAAATAATCACATTGTACAGCCACGTTGTGACCCCTTGATTGTAATTTATTGTAGTTAACACACGTTCCACACACATTCCCAAACTCCGCCCAACCCCATTCCATCCAAACAAAAAAAAAAAAACAACAAACAAAAGTCGCCCATTTCGTTAGAACGTGTTTGCCGTCATAGTAGTGCTGTCCTGGGCAGTTAAAAAATTAAAAAAATAATAATTATTATGAAAAGTACCGTAGTTTAATAACATTTGTGCGTTTTGTAGTTTGAGCAAGTTGATTTTACGCGCATATCTTTCCTATTTGTTTTTTTTTTTATTTCTTTTTAATTTTTATTGTGTGTGTGTGTTTATGCATAAGTAAATGATAAAATGATAAAAATGTATGCGAAGTTATGAGGCGTGGGAGAAAAGTAACTGTATATATGATATTTTTATTTTTTTAATATTGAACGATGTATTGCTTATTGAGTTGTCCTCAGCAGGAATTGCGTTGTTTGAAATATTTATTGTCTTTACGCCAATCCTTTGAGAGGCGGGTAATTAAATAATAAAATCCATATAAGCACTTGAATCCGATCGATCAGTTTGTATGATAGTTATATGCTATAGTGATCGGATCTGAACAATTTCTTCGGACATAGTAGCAATGCTTTGGATAGTAATTTCCACCAAATTTCATGAAGATAATTTTCAAATAAAAAAGTTTTCCATACGAAAACTTGAGTTGGATCATTCAGTTTATAAGTTAGCTATATGCTATAGTAGTCCGATATCGGCCATTCTAACATATAAGCAGCTTCTTGAGAGAAAAGAACGGGTAAAAGATTTTTAGATCGGTATCTCAAAATCTCAGGGACTAGTTCGTTTATATGCAGACAGACAGAAGGGTWTGGTTAAATCGGCTCAGCTCGTCACCCTGATCGTTTATATATGTATATACTTTATAGGGTCTCTGACGTTTCATCTTGGGATGTTACGAATATCGTGGCAAACTTGATATACGCTATACAGGATAAAAATATCCGGAACGGCCAGGATTTATATTCAACCAAGTGCTATAAATCCGACTACTGTCTTCATTCAGCTTTTTTTGCTGTTTTTGTCGTTGTTATAGCGGCAGAAAATATTCCCGAAATAAATGTGAAGAACGCTGCGAAACTTACCTCTACCGGATAGAAATCGTTTGTCGTGGGAACCGGAGCTTTTCTTGTTGCTTTCTCACAGCATTCTGTGCTATGTAACTCGGATTCTTATCCACCGATACACTTTCAAGTTGGTAGAGAGTCGGACAAGAATTAGTGTCGCTTTAACAGCAACAATTAACTTGGAAAGCATTTGTTTAGAAACTAAATTTAGCATGAAGAACAATCCGTTCTTTAGACCGTTATCCAACTGCAGTGCTGTAGAGAGAAAAACGGGCGGCAGAATTCTGTCGCTATAGCAACAACAACAGAGAAAACCTTGGTCTGGAATGGATTGAAGTAATAGTAGTAGATTGTTGGAACAAAAATCTTTAAAAAATTGTTGCGGCGCACTGGCATACCCGTTCTCACCCCGTCTCTCCTTCACTGCCCAACTGTGTTTCTCAAAAGCTGTCAAAAAGCTAGAAGATAACTCTAATTTGAATAAATTAAGCAATGCGAAATATTTTTTAAATTCTTTATTATCTTTTTTCATACTCTTATGTCAATTAGTTACGTTCTTTTTACACTTATTATTTTTATTTTTATTTTTTGCTTGTTTTTACATTTTATTAATTAACATTAACATAGGT